CATTGAAACTATAACACTAGTTAAAATTATGGTATAAAATTTTGATCAAAACAACATTACACTGACGAAAAATTTCCTTGATTATCGATTCACGCTGCCCCCCGGTAATGGCGGCCGTGAGCGCGCCGCCTACGGCGAAGGGGTAATTCATCTGCTTCTCGGATTCGTCTATAGAATAATTGGCACCCATGTGTGCCTTTATATGGGAGTCAGGGTTGTATGCTCCCTGGAGAGTTAAAAGGGCTAATATACTTCAGGGTAATAATATATAGGATAATGTTGCATTATTATCATGGCACCCAATTGTCTAATATTATCTGCTGCGATAGTACAACCATAATTTTATTAATTCTAGACCAGAAACCCTCAACTCTGTTTAAATCCTTGTATTAAGCAGAAGTAAAATTTATTATAAAATGAGTCAATATCATTGTAAATCTGAGAATAACCCAGAACTTGTTACATTACCTCATATTGCATAAAAGATATACTCATGCGTGTGTTGAAGCAACCTAATCATCTTTTCCTCGGTTACCTCAAGTTGTCAATTTCAAATATGATTGACCTTTATTCTGGTTTGATGCTTTTACAATAATGTTTATATTTACCTAAAATATTTGTAATATCTACTTACAATAGCCTTTTTTTATTGTTTGTTATTTTACAAATTATGGTTGCTAATACAGCGATATGTGTGACCCTCTAACTCATTAAGTATACCAATTGAGTGACCCTCCAACTCATTAGGTATTGTGCTAATTGTTTGAGCCTCCAACTCACTAGCTAATTATGCAACCCTCTAAATCATTAGGTAATATGAGTGTGTAACTCAGTTTAACATCCACTCCCAGTATAACACAGAGGAATCATGTTGGGAGTAACACAGCTAGTGAATTGCTTGAACACGTACACCTGACCCATATCCAGTATGCGCAGCCTTACTGGTGTATTCTACAGAGGTATTATTTAAATTGAGGACCCTTCTGCACTTTCCTCTTAGTTTTGGGTTTTTCCCGACTATGGCAAACTTTTCTATTGTATCCATTTTGAATCACCCTATAATCATCGTTGTCATAACCACAGATCTACCATCCCCGTCGTACTTCTCAACGCTAAACTCCACTAAGTTGATAAATATATTCACATGTCAAAATTCTTGACAAAAAAATAATATAGCAAATATTTAAGAAAGAAACTAGATTTCTGTGTGAAAAAATCACAAGCGTCTCCAACAACTGTGTTTACATTGCCATCTTTAAAGTGACCTGACTCGTCACCTAATTGTGAAAATTCATGGTATATGAATACTAATTACTGGTAGTACAGTTTGAACGCCTGGAAACAGATACTAGTCAAAAACCGTAGCTCAAAAGTGCTATTTACAACCGTTTTTAACATTTTTTATTAAAACACTTGAAACCATGCACAAGTTATATATATATAGTAATTAAACTACCGGGGTATACTATTTTGTTTATTTGCTGTAAAATCAACAAACTTTTTGTAGTGATGAATTATTAATATATTTAAATGAACATAAACATAAAGCAGCCAATCGCGTCATGCAACTCACTGACTGGTATAACACAAACAATGAAAACAGATACTAGCATAACAAATAATTGTTTATTTTCAAAACCATGTGTAACAAATACATGTCAGAGTATTCCCCAAGATTCTTCAAAGGCTGTACAGATTTTGGTACATGTCAAAGCAGCTGATAATGGATAGTTACTGATCGAGATGTCCTCTTCCGTGTAATCAACATCAATCTAGGAATAAAATATAATTGTTATATTACACACAGATTATACAAAATGACATCACTACATCTACTGGTTTAGATCTTACCTTGTCATGAACATGACATTACTACGTCTACTGGTTGAGATCTTACCTTGTCATGAACCATGACATTACTACGTCTAATGGTTTAGATCTTACCTTGT